TGACTGACAGGATGAGCTGTGACTGAAAGTGTGGGCTGTGACTGACAGGATGGGCTGTGAGTGACAGGATGGGCTGGGACTGAGGGGACAGGCTGTGACTGAGGGGACAGGCTGTGAGTGACAGGACAGGCTGTGACTTACGGGACAGGGTGTGACAGGTCAGGCTGTGACTGTTGTGACTGACAGGATGGGCTGTGACTGAAAGGACAGGCTGTGACTTACGGGACAGGGTGTGACAGGTCAAGCTGTGACTTCTGTGACTGCCAGGTCAGTCTGTGACTGACAGGTCAGGGTGTGACTGACAGGACAGTCTGTGACTGACAGGTTGGGTTGTGATTGACAGGACAGTCTGTGACAGGTCAGGCTGTGAGTGACAGGTCAGGTTGTGACTGACAGGGTGGGTTCTCCCCTCAGCACACGCCCCCATTTCCTGTCGAGGACAGGGCTGCAGGACCCCCCTCAGGGCTCCATTCCATGTCCCCTTACCCCACCAAGGGCAGCAGGGGCCCCTCAGGGGGTGAAGAGCCCCCTGAGCACAGACTCCTGTCCTCTCAGGGGCAGCAGGTCCCCCTCAGTGCAGACCCCTGTCACCTCAGGGACAGATGAGTCCCTCACAGCACAGACCCTGTGCCCTCAGGGATGGCAGGGTCCCCCAGTACAGACCCTGTGCCCTCAGGGGCAGACAAGTCCCTCGCAGCACAGACCCTCAGGGATGGCAGGGTCCCCTCAGCACAGACCCTGTGCCCTCAGGGATGGCAGGGTCCCTCAGCACAGACCTTTCTCCCCTCGGGGCAGCAGAGTACCCCCAGCACAGACCCCTCTCCCCTCAGGGGTGACGGGGTCCCCTCAGGGGCTGTGTCCCACCCGGTGGGTTCCCTCACCCCTCTGAATCTTGACAACCCCTGGGGCACGAAGGAGAGGAGAGCCCAGACTCTGCCAGGGGTGAGACCATCACCTGGGAAGGGCCCCTCAGCATGGCCCAGGCTCATCAGGGACCTCAGCATGATCCATCCTCCTTTGGAGACCTCAGCATGATCCATCCTCCTCTGGGGACCTCAGCGTGACCCGTTTGCATTCGAGGACCTGGAGGGGTGGCAGTGCTGTCACCAGGGGCTGTGGCCACCCAGACAAACCTCTGCAGCTGCCACTGCATGGTGTGTCACGGCCGTGTCACCGAATGAACAGTGAAGGGGTTGAACACAAAAATCCTGGGGAAAAAAGGTGTCACCAGGGCCACGTGTCCAGCAGTGAGGGCCCAGGAGAGCAGAGGCTCCAGGCTGGGGAGCAGAGCTTGTGTGGAGGGAAGGGTTTGAGAGGGTCCCTGTCCTGCCTCTGCCAGTAAGGGATCAGATCCCTCTGCCACAGGGATTCCACCTCTTCCATAAGGAATCAGATCCCTCTGCCACAGAGATTCCATCTCT